ATATATATATATTTTGTTCTGTAAATTCATTATTTTATTTCTTTCTTTTTTAAGGATTTAGAAATTGAGAGCCCAACTTATGAGTTCAGCTGTGGGAATGAACCATCCAATAGAGACAAAAACAGATATCGGGATATTCTTCCATGTAAGCTAAAGATTATTTTGATATTTTCCTGTTTGGGAAAGAGATAAAAAAATGAGTTGTATGATCTTCCATATTACACATTTTGACCTGTGACCACAATGAAGAACATTAGTAGCTAGCAGTGAGTGACTGGGCATATTCTAGGATATGTGCTAGAATATGGTAAGAGTCAAATCCTCTGTTCCAGCTACTCCCCCAGCAACAGTCTCAGGGTTATTTATAGCACTTCTTCAACCTTGTTCTTACACATTGCTACTTTTTAGGCCATGAAACATCCAAAACATAAAGCCTAGTAAGCTAAGACATCTTTCACTTTGTGTACCACAAGCCCTGACCACATTCCCTGGCCATTTTGTTTAGACATTAAGATACAGTAGAGCTATTAAAAGATTTATCCCAGAAAATAATTTACTCTCCAATGGGAAGCTGCCCTTTGATTGTCTGCATATGTTAGGTGGAGAGTAGTGCCACCAACCTCCCACCCAATTACTTACAGTGAGTTATCTGTCTCAGGACAGCCATAGAACAGGGGAAAAATAAAAAATGCAGTTTTAATCTCAGACAGGAAATCCCATTCTGTGGCTCACATTCCTTTTAAACTCAAAATCTTTCCAAATTAAATTTACCATTTTTCTTCTTCAAACTTGACCCTACTCTTTTATTCTATATGTCATTTAATTTAACTTCCCAGTTGTCCAAACTAGAAAACTTTGAGTCATCTTCAATGTCCAGAAGTGGTCACAAAGTCCTTTTGATTCTACCTCCTTACCACGTGTAGAATCCTCCTGCAACTTTCTATTCCTACTGCTACTAACTTAGACCGAACCGTTTTTCTTGCTTAGTTGGTCTCTGTGTTCTTCCCTGCCTCCACTCAACAGCTACTGAAATTATTTTTCTAAAATGTAAATCAGAATATGTTATGCTACTTTTAATGTACTTCCTTGGCTCTCTCTCACTCTCTTGTTAGAGTCCTTTATGGACTCTACGTGGATTTTTTTCTCTGTTTGCCTTGGCTATTTTCAGCTCTTACAGAACTTCTTTTGTTTTTGGAATTGATCTTAGTGACAATCATAGAAAGCTTGATTTCTTCACCACACATGTCTTGAATTTATAGAGAAGGTTATTGAAGTCTCACATAAATGAAGTGAAAGAAATAATTAATTTGCCATCCTCTTCAAATGCTGAGAATACTGAATAGGGGAACTCAGCATCTCAGGACACTACAAGTACAAGTAGTTCTCAATTTGCATGGTTCCAATATGCACAAATTTCAAGTTACTGCATTTAGTTAAATAATACCAGTCTCTTAACAGCATGATTTAAATTTAGTTGCATTAACTGTGCGTAAATGCATAAGATACAAACTTCCCTGCCAGCTCTTCTATCCACAAATCACTATGTAAATAATAGATTACTGCCCAGTCATGGAACTTCTTTCAAAGTCTGTTGGTGATTGGTTACTGTGCATCTGTTACTCAGTTCATACAGATAGCAAAACATGTAGTTGTGTTGTCTCTTTGTCTTTCAGTAATAAACCCACTGTTCTGGTTACCTAGTGCCTCTCTGACAAGAATATACCACAAATGGGATGGCCTTAACAAACAGGAGTTTACTCTCTTACAGTTTGGAGGCTTCAAGTCCAAATTCAAAGTGCCAGGCTCTAGGGGCTGTGTGAAAGCCCCTCAACTTTGGGGTCCAGCTCTGCTGGCCCACTGGAGCTAGAGGCTTTTCTTCATTCAGACAGCTGCTAGCTGCTGAGGCTGAAACGCCCACGGTTGACAAGTAAAAAGGCACAGCCCTGATATTACCAAACCACATGGCAGGTCATTAATTCAAGTCCATTGTAAGTCCCAAAATCAGCAGAGCATGGCAGGCTGCTGAACAATGACATGGCTACATGCAGGGTCTGAGCGTGCCATAAGCTAGAGACCATTCCCCAAGGCCTCTGCTTATATACAGGAAGCAGACTGCATTCCCTAAGGCAGCTACTCAGCTGCTCACAGTAGATTCCACCATGGAGTTGATTACTAATCTCATCATGGGGAATACTGCACCCAGCTGCCCAGCCACTTAACCAGGCCCAGCCAAGTTGACACACAATCTGAATTACCACACCCACATGACATTTTTAAAAAATGAATAATCGAAAAGAGTGAATTGGGCAAAAAAGATGAAAGTGCAGCAGAGAAACAAAAAGGGATAACTGGAAGCGAAATTTGAATGAAATGTAAATGGTGATAGAATACATAGCTGGCCAGGGAGTGCTGACACTGTCACCTCTCTAGAGCCTCCAGATATGCAGCCAGAGGAACTTTTGAAGAACTTACTGACATAAATGAGGGAAGTGGTTGTGACAAAAAGGATGAAGATATCCTAGAGGAAGTGATGTTAGCAAGAAAACCTTTACATTAAAGAAACTCTTGGAGATATTTTACAACATACTAAGTGTAAAGGATAAAATGTTAGGGACTGATCCAAACTTAGAACAGGATATCAAAGTTTGCCAAGGCATGGAAAGATGCTTGCTCCGTATTTTAAGTTATATGATGAAAAGAAAAGGCAAGCACTATTCAAACTACTCTTGATTATTACTTACAAATAAAGTGTTTTAATTTTCAATATTTCTAATGTTTTGAGTGTTCTAAATAAATATTAGTTTTGATAGTTTTTCATCTCCTTTACATTTATTCTCTTACTTGGCTATTAGTTTCTCATTCATGGCTTGCAACTTGTTATGATACTAGAAGCTATGCCAGCAGCATTTCAGATACCAGTTGGGACACCCATAGAGTCAGGTTCCACTGGAACTTCCAGACTAAAGCAGATTAGGAAGAAAGTCTGACAATCTACTTGTGAAAATCAGCCAATGTAAACCTATGGATCACAATAGTACTTTGTCCAGTTTGCTTGCTGTGGACACAAAATCGGGAGAGTTCAGTTGCTAGAAAAAGACATCCTATTTGGTGAAGCTGAGGGCCAGTGATGGCATAGAGACCCTCCATGAGATAGATTGGCAGAGCTGCAATGATAAATTCAAGGATGCCAACAATCAGGATGCGAGACTGGGCTGTGTGTTTCAGTCTGTTGTTCATAAAGCGACCGTGAGTTGGAGTCAACTCAGTGGTAGCTCTCCCTCAATTTCTCTATTCATTTGTAACCAACAATAAAGAAATGTTTATTGTTTTGGCAACAATTTTTAAGATGCATGTAACAATTATAATTTTCCTATTGATTATTAAGAACACTTTACAAAGTTTCAGCTTGCATGGTTGTATTTAAGCCCCTATAGAACCATACAAACAAGAACAGCCCTTATTATTTAGTCCAGGGAATTTTCAGGTATAAATATAGTATCATGCATTTCTGTAACATTTTACAACTTTAAAAGCATTTTCAAATACATTATTTAATATAATCTTCATAGAATCCCTCTGAAGTACATCAGTCACATATCATTATTCCTAGTCATACAGAAGGTGACAAGCTCCGAGATCAAAAGCCATTTTAAAGGTTAATAAAGGAATGTGACCACCCTACATATCAGGTTCTTTACTCCCTGTCTTAATACTTTTTCAAGTACTTGTCACTGGGTCAGGATCTACTCAGAACTAATTAATAATGATAAGGAATTTATTAATTTTCTACTTTTCAGGGCATGTATGTACATTTCTCATTGAGTGCTCCCTACATTCATGTGAGGAAGTAAGGACAAATGATAATATTGAATTTCCTTGTTCTAACTTGTGATGATACATTTTCTGAATATAAAATTCTTGGTCATAATCTTTTCTTTTCAGACCTCCATACACATTACTCTATTGACTTCCAGCACTTAGGGTTACTTAAAAGATTTGGATGACAAGATGAGGTGGATTTCTTTATTGGCAACTTGTATTCTCCTGCCTTCATGACAGGACTAGTTTTTTCCTTATCTTTTAAATTGATTTTTCATTATTGTTGTTGTTAGGCACTGTCAAGTCAGTTCTGACTCATAGCAACCCTGTGTACAACAAAACAAAACACTGCTCAGTCCTGTGCCATCCTCATAATACTTGCTATGCTTAAGCCCATCATTGCAGCCACCATATCAATCCATCTCATTGAGGGTCTTCTCCCTTTTTATTGACCCTCTATTTTACCAAGCATGATAAGCTTCTCCAGGGCCTGATCCTTTCTAACAGCATAACCAAAGTACACGAGATGAATTCTGGCCATTCTTGCTTCTAAGGAGTATTCTGGTTGTGCTTCTTCCAAAACGAATTTGTTCATTCTTCTGGCAGTCCATGGTGTTTTCAGTATTCTTTGCCAACACCATAATTCAAATGCATCAATTCTTCCGCAGTATTCCTCATTCATTGTCCAGCTCTAACATTCATATGAGGCTTTTGAAAATAACATAGCTTGGACATCTTTGCTCTGTAACACTTTAAAGAGGTCTTGCAGCAGATTTGACCAATGCAATACATTATTTGATTTCTTGACTACTGCTTCCATGGGTGTAGATTTGTTGTTGTTGTTGTTGTTGTTGTTGTTGTTGTTATGTGCCATCGAGTCAGACCTGACTCATAGCGACCCCTCCTTGGGTTTCTGAGGCAGTATCACTACGGAAGTAGATTGCCCAACCTTCCTTCCAAGGAGTGGCTG